TGCACGGTGGCCATTGTCAACCTCAACCATGCCGGGGACTCATTGGACGCCGGCTATTGTCTCCGTAGCTCCTGCTTGGACGATTGTAAACACAAAACTCATTTTCAGCGTTGGGGTTGATGATGAATTATATGAAAAAGGTTTCATAATTTTTTCAATAATCCTTCAATATAAGTTCTCAGGGTCTGACCTCAGAGTGGAGGTTCCTGCAAAACTTCCAGCTCCTCTTTGAAGGGGTCTTGGGATGGCGGTTCTCTCCGTCCCACCATCCTCAGATTCTCATCCTGACAGCTGCTTCTTGGCATCGGCCCAAACTGGTGTCCAAGCTGAGAAAACAGGCACTGAATATTAGTACTAAGCTGCTATCCACATTAAAGAGGCAGCAGAATGCAGGAATATGCATTAAATACAATGAACGGGCAGTTAATGAACACTCTGGAGCTTTACCAGCAAAATACTTCATTTGCTCATATAGGCATCCTCTGCTTGTCTAGCTGACATCTCCCTTCCCCCCCCCCCCCCCCCCCCCACCCCCCCCCCCCCCCCCCCCTGTGCATGTCTGCTCCACCACCTCAAAGCTCAACATTGACAAGACTGAACTGCTTTCGTTCCGGGAAAAGATTGTCCCACTCTTGACCTAACAATCAACATCGGCCCCTCTTGTTTTCACAACTCAGAACGCAAGGAATCTGGGTTGACCTAGATTAACAAAACTGTCCTTCCCACTGGCAAACTCGCTGTTTACAACAAAATGACTCAGGGTGCATCTGAGATTAGAGAGGGTGCAGTGGTAAAGTGCTATTTTTTATACGTGGGGAGTGGAATTAAACACCCCTAGGGGTCCTCACCTCCCTCTATGGAGGCTCCTCACTTCTCTAGGAGGTCCTCACCTCCTCTAGGCGGGTCCGGGGGCATGCTCCCCCGGGAAGATGTTTTTTTTAAATATTGAAGTTAAAAGCATCAATCTGGTGCACTTTGAGAGCAAAATGAAGAGATCTATGGATCTATGTGCTCTTTGCTTGATTCATGCCTTCCCAGTCCCTTATCACGTAGCCTAAGGCATGGCGCCAGTTGTTCTAGCCAGTTGTGGTGAAGGCATCTGACTTACTTGAACCAAAATGTCAGAAGATGGCATCTTTTTTACATGAATATTCCAGCCAATCTCTGTTTTGAAACCATGAGCTGCAAAATGAGCGCCTTTCCCCACTGTACAGGCGAGTTGGGTACTTTTTTAAATATACCTGGGCAGGCTCTGTTTTGCCGAGGTCCTCTGGCACTTGCGGGCCGCTGAGGGGTGGTGGTGTTTGGGGCAACGAAGACGGCTGCGGCTGCTCCGCCTCCGTGGGCGAGGCGGGCAAAGCCGGCGAGTCGGGCGTTAGTGTCCACGACAGTGGCCGCGGGTAACTGTCCCCATGATCTGAACTGTTATTACCTGGCTGCAGTAGATGCAGTGTTACTGCTGGCGATAAGGGCTGGTTGTTTTAACCATTTTCTGATGTCCATCACTGACTGCTGTGTAAGCACCTTGTAGATGACGAACGTGCAGTGGCACAGGTCACGCGCACCTGACATAATAACGTTACTTACCGTTTAAATTGACCAAATAAATGCAGCAGACAATGTTATTTAACCACAATTACAATTTATTTTATTTCAACTAAATTCTTCTTCTTCTTCTTCTTATTATTATTATATATGTAATATTTTTCACTTTACATTTCTTTTCTTCACTTTCATTTTTTTTTCATTTTTCAAATGAGGGTGCATAAAGACTCAACTGAGGGTGCAATGCACCCTTATGCACCCCCGTAGAACCGTGCCTGGCCATCCGACCTCTTCAGCTCATCCAGAATGCAGCGGCTCGTCTGGTCTTCAACCTTCCAAAATGTTCCCACACCACTCCGCTCCTCCGCTCCTTTCACTGGCTTCAGTAACTGCTGAATCCCTCCCAAGGGGACACTGGTCTGCGTACCATGCTGCGAATGGGATCTCGGCCGTTCCTCCATTCCCTAACTGTACAACCCCAGCACGTGCACTCCGCTCTGCATCACCCCACTGCGAGGGGGACCACACGTGGGTTGCTATCCTGGCTCCAAAATGGTGGAATGAGCTCCCCATTGAAATCAGGACCCAGCAGATGCTTCACATCTTCCGGTGCAGACTGAAAACTCATCTCTGCTAACAAAGGCTTATACAGTATACTAATAAAGGGCTGGCTTATCTAAAACCAGTTGAGTAGCACTTGAAATGTTTGGCTCTATGAAACCTGATGTACTTATATGATTCTGTTTTCTTCAAGTTTGTATCTTCTTGGTCGAATGCACTTATTGTAAGTCACTTTGGGTAAAANATGAAACGCCATATCATGGATTACCAAGGATTATTTCTGAAACAGTATGGAGCTCAAAGGCTTTCTCTCTTGCAGGTTATACCACAAGGTGAGTTCCTTTTTATTTCCTGCTTCTTCACACACATGCTCTCCAGTACAGGTTAGCTCTGAGTGTTAGCGATGCTAATGTAAACACAGACCATATTACGTCCAAAACAGTCGGGCATTGTTTCTGATGGCAACGTTTCTGATAGGGCTGTGGGTCCGCCACCGATTTGACGTCATATCGGCCGCAAATCTGGATCAGCTCCGTTGTAGCCTCGTTTTTAGAGATTTGGGTGCGGAGGAAAAGAGAGAGGGTTTTATTTTCTGACGCTGCGTGAGTTCCCCGACACCGGGGACATATTTATGTAGAAAAGACATCAAAAAGTGCATTTTGCATGATAGGTCCCCTTTAAATGGAAACTGAACTACTACAGTTTCCTTTACGGAGTCTAATGAAACAAATATGAGCTATTTTAGATCAAGGATGTAGTCCAGATGGAGACGGGAAAGACCTTGCATATGACTCATAGGCCACAGCGATCAACGTTCAGTCCCATGTTTGCGGTAGCCACAAACCACAGCCGTTTATGTTTGGCTGACACGCTGCCATGGCGACGGCTCGACTTTGCCAAACATACAACGTCCGTCGTCTCAACATTTATGGAAAAATAATGGAGGCAAGAGTACAGCCCTCTAAACACTGCCACGTATTGTGTGCATAATGATTGCCTTGGTAGGAGGAGAAACAGGGAAAGAGTTAGTCATCAGGCTCTGGATGTGGCAGCATGGGAAGAGGAGAAACGTCAGGCAGCAGTGAGCAATGAGGAGGGTATGCTCCAGGCAGGGAGTGGCCCCTGAGCCAGGGCAGCTCTCACACTGTCACATATAAAGCATCAGCTATTAAAAGCTAATGAGTAACTCTGATCTGCTGCTGTGGATCACATGCAGATATTATCACTTTAATCACACTCTAGTATGTTGTAATGGACTAATGATTCATTTACTTAATCCCTTTGCCACTCTTTACAGGGAAGCATATCACATATTTGACAAATATAGAAAGATGTTGAAAGTGGGGCTTTCATAAGCCTTGAGGCAGCTGCTTCCTCTCATGATCCTCCAATAAACATAATATCTTGTTCAGTAGTGTCTTTCCATTTCATTTTAGGGCATACCAGGAAGACTTTTTAAATCTTCTTGGAAGAAAAGGCAACCAGTGACACGGTGTATGCTCGTCAGCTCTTGTTACATGATGTCTACTGTTATACTGCAAGATCTTTAAAGTAAGTATTTTGAGGGTGAAGTTTAATTTGACTTAAGTGCGACAGCAGCCTCTGTTACCACATGTGCTAATTATGGGATTATAATAAATGTGTAAACAGTAATGTAGAAAATAGTCATAATGACAGCCAACTATCTCTGAAGTTACAAAGTAATTCCAATCCAAAGTTTGCTAACATTAGACACCATTATCTATTGGGCATACCCAGACCACTAGAGGCTGTAACAGAAAAGCCCAGAGTCTAATGAATTGAGTGAAAGTGTGTCCAGTTGTAAGGAAGTCTATAAGAAAACTACACCTTACTCCTCACTTGATTTCCTACCTCAGTCAATATTTTCCTGATAAGAGAATGGTCTCAATCGCCAATGTTATGTTTCCTTTAATACAGCATGATGTTACTTATGTCATTTAGGGTCCCATTTAAACTAAAGTAGACAATAAAGCATGGTAGTACTGGTAAACCTGGTAACAGGGCGTGGCTACGTTTTTATTGGCAAGTTGCTATTTTGACCTCTCATTAAGGACAGAGGCTTAGAAGGAGGAGTATCCCTTTCTAGCTCCACCCTTGTAAAAAAATGGTAACTTCCAAAATACCAAACTTTGAACCCCAAGGTGACGTCATGATGATTAAATCCACTCTCTAGGTTTATTAATTGTTTGAACTTGCTGAACTCTTTAATAAGTTAGACAGTCTGTTGAACTGTGAATAAACTACATCTCATGAACACACATGGGTGCTTTTAACAAATTCAGGGCCTCAAACGTGCGGGATCACCCCTAAACCCCCCTATCCTCCCGCAATGTACATTTTCACTGAATGAAGATATTATTTGTCACGAACACATACATAACCACACACAAAGGTTGAGTTTGTCTTGTGCTGCAGCTCACCTTGCCTTCAGCTCCTTGAAGTCCTCTCTCAGTTTGGCCAGCTCCAGCTGCAGCCGGGCTCTCTCCTTGGCCACGGAGTCCAGAGTCTGCCGGGCATCGGCCAGCTCCGTCTCGTAGGCGGCCTTCAGGCCCGTCAGCTCCCGGCTGACCTCTGTCTCTGACTCGGTGATGCGCAGACGCAGGCCGGCATTCTCAAACTCCAGTGAGCGCACCTTGTCGATGTAGACGGCCAACCGGTCGTTGAGGTTGCACAGGTCCTCCTTCTCCTGGAGCCGGGTGATACGGTTGGGGGACAGAGGTGTGTTGGAGCCTCGGGGAGTATTTTTGGGTGTCGCCATGGCACTTTCTGGAACAGATATGATTATCAAATGAATCATTCTGTACAGTTGTTTTCCCGTCCACAAAATGTCTAAATGCTGGCATAAGGAGCTTAGTACAATAAAAACAGGTCTTTAGGATGATGGAGAAAGTTGACCATGCAGTTCTGTTACAAATCTACTTTCACCTACTTTATAATCAAAATCAATCCAGAAAACAATCCCCTCATTGAGGTATAAAAGTGGACTTTTACTGTAATAATCTCACTTCCCACACAATTAAAACAAAGTTATTGAAAGGTTAGAATTAAGAATAAAACATAATTGACCACATAAGGTGCACAGAAACTCTTTAGAGTGCATTGAGATAAAACATTCAAAAGAAAAGTTCATCAAAGGACATGGGAGGGGTTGTCGACTCCACCCAAAGCTCAAAGTAAAGACTCTGCACAAAAGATGCCAACTTCGATGGGAAGATTTACCTTTTTATAGCTGGGTAGAGGGTAGAAGTAGATCAACTTAGGATTTTCTGAGACTTCTCTGTTGGTTTTCTTTGGTATCTTGGGATGAGAGCTTTCCTTTAAGTCCTCCTGCACTCTTCAGTCTGTTAGAGCGATGTCTGCAAATCCATCTGTGGGTGCCCGGGTAGGAAAGAATGAGATGGGAGGAGAGGAGAGAGGTTGGACTCAAGTTTGGCACTTCAGAGGTGGTTGTTTGGTTGTGTTTTTTTTCTCTCTCTCTCTGCAATTCTCTCTCTCTCTCTCTCTCTCTCTGCAATTCTCTCTCTCTCTCTCTCTCTCTCTCTCTCTCACACACACACACACACACACACACACACACACACACACACACACACACACACAATGGGTGTGCAGTCTGAATGAATGAGTCATCCGCTACTCAAATAAATGCTAGGGGATCATTTTAAGATCTATTGCCTGAGAGTTCACTTCTGTTCATTCATGGCTTTTGACTCGAACCACAGCGCTTATGCTTCTCCAAGAAGTTCAGATGAAGAACTTTTATAAGAAACAGAATGTCGTATTTAGCATTTGCAAATCTATATGAATTTAGTCTAAAAACAACAAAACACAAGATGTCAATGTATATACTTTGTTTACATTACATTTTTCTGCTTTCTAGACGCTTTTATCCAAAGCGACTTACATACTCATTACTGTGGACAATTACCACAGGAGCAATTTGGGGTGAAGTGTCTCAGGGACACAACGACATGCTGACTGCATGTGACCCCCTGATCCCAACACCAAGGCTCTATCCACTACGCCACACGCCTCCCTAAGGCATTATACTGCACTAACAGCCATTTTATAATGTGTATAATGAGCAATTATGTCTTTTTGGTTTTCATTTCATGGTGTTAAACCCACTATTGTTCTCAAATCCACATTAGATTGTTATTTTAAATGAACTGAGAGTTGATAGGCATTCTACCTCCTTTACAATTTTGCAACCTCTTATTATTCTAACCCATTCCCTTCCACACTAGTGAATAATTCATCATTTTAAAGCTAGAAGAGTGCCACTCTAACTGTTGCCATGGTAACACAATGGTACTGTTAATTCAAAAATGAAATGTATTTACAAGTATTATTAGATTTACATTAAACCCAATATTAACAATAATAAGCATTCTTTGTACAGCACCTTTCATACAATAATTACAGTCCAAAGTGCTTCACAGAAAATTGATATCACGATTCAAAGATTCAAAGATATATCTGAATCTTCTGTGACTATTTTGTGTGAAGCACTTAGGACTGCAATTCTTGTATGGAAGGTGCTACGTTATAATTTAAATTAACATAGTTCCATTGTGTCTTTCACATACAGTATAATACAGTCACCAGTAAAAGACATCACAAATAAACATAAAAAGAGCATAACAAATATGTAAAGTTACGAAAATAAAATAGTGCATTCGAATTATTTTTTCGTTCTATCTTTCCTTTATTGAACAAAATACAATGCAGCTTTACGTGTCTGTGCAATCAACAAATATAACAAATACAAATAATTGCATAACTAATGTGAATAAACAACATAATATATACATCTAAAATGGTATTTGATTTCAATTCCAGCTTATTCTTCAAACTCAAATCAATTGTACACCAATGAGCAGTTTTTTGCAGCTGTTGAACTCATGCACAATTGTAGGCGCAATTATTTATATAAAAAGTGATAAAAGTAAGAGGGGTTTCCATAAATGCGGTTTGTTTAATATGATATGGTGCCTTCAGGAGAGTTGTGTTAATCAGCAGACTGTGGCTAATGGTTGAAACTGGCTGCACAAAAAACACCATGTTCCACTCAAACGGAACCCCGGATCAACATGTTTTCCGTTTTTTTTAGTTAAAATAGCTTCTAGCTGTCAAACACGACATAAGAACAGTGAGTTACGAGGTTACGAGAAGCGGAGTGCTCTGCGCGTTGGACAGTTTGTGTCATGTGGTCTGTGTGAAAACCCGTATTGGATCCCCGTGGTCACCTGGGCAAAAAACCTGAAGGAGCTGAGGAGCTGATAGTCTGCATGTGTGTGTCAGATGAACACTGTACACATGTATATGATTGCCTTGGCAAATCTAACACAAAGTCTAAGAAATTATAAGCAAATAATCCCCGCGTGACTGACTTTTAAATGCAGAAATAAAACGAGAATAAAACGCGATAATGCACTAGAAAACTATTTGCCCCAGAGGAGTCACGTGAATGCTAGGTTACACTATGTGAAATATTAAAAGGCAAAGGAACATTTACACTGATCAAAACACACATTTAAACACAATATAAAAAGGCAGTAACCAATCCACTCCGCATCTTATTGGCCGCATGGCGCAGTCCACAGCTTTGCGCGGATAAACAGCAGCTGTGCGCCGCGAGCAACAGAAAGGAAACCCAAGGAAAAAACAATTCCATCGAACAACAGGAAATAATCCTCCAGCCGTACATCCAGGTTCATCTGAAAGACTATAACGATCTCCACGGAGCACCGCCGCCGCCGTGCAGCTGCGTAAGCCCCCGGAGTGTGTGTGTTTTTCGGTTTTCCGCACAGACGCAGACGACTCCCTCCTGCTCAGCAGCGGCCTCCATTTTAGCTCCTTGCCCGGTCGGTGCCTCACGTGTCCTGGACTGTCTTCCTCACATGACCCGTGTGTTTGTCCCCGTGATCAGCGCTTCCATCTCCGTAAATCAGTGTCGTTGAATATCGGCGTTTTTACCCTCGCAAAAAGCTTCATGGATATGCTGGAGCAGAGTCTGGACAGCTCGGGGAGGTGAGAGGCTGCTGCCCCGCTTCCTGCTCAGACATGGCTCCCTCCACGGCCTAAAAGCTTTTTCCTCTAGCTGTTAATAACCTGAATGCACCAGATACTTGTAAGATGTGTGCATTGTTTATGTTTTACTACCTGCTGAATCTGTGTGCAGCCTTCCTGGATGAGGCGTTTTTTGCATCCGTCATTTTCACATTTTCAGCAGAAAGTGTGCGCCCTTTTGCAAATGTGTAACATCACGATTACTGCTTTATTTACTTGATAAAATAAGCAAATGCACATCAGCGATTTTGGTTTATTTTCCAGACATCACACTTAGTTTAACGTTGTTGTTTCACTATAGCTAATGCAACTCTTTTAGCATTAAAATGCTTAAATTAAACTAGGAAGGGCGGTGTTAATATTGTTATAGTTATTTCTGAAGTTTTTCCCTTGCTTGTGCACTTAATATAATCACTTACGGTTGAGTTTTAATCATTAAATAATACATAGTTTTCTCCTGAAAGTTATATAAAACATGACTTCTGTCACGCTTTGCCCGCCAGTGATGTATGACTTTATTTATGTTTTCTCCATCATCTCCTCCTGGGACCACCAGGGGTCGCCATTCCCACACCTTGCTCTGAGAGCTTTATTCACATATTCATTTATGATCAATAATTGACTCTGTTCTCTTTTTGTTTCTAGTCACGACAAACAGGAAACAGAAGAGGTGGTGCAGCTACAGGAAGGTGAGGTTCTTCTCATTCTAAAGTGTAACCTGCTCATTTTCTGGAAATAAAATGTGTAAAGTGTGACTTACTTGTCTTTCGTGGTTGTGCCTGTGCAGCCTCACAGATTGGAAACCTGTTCTGTGTTGCAGGAGAGTCGGTGGGCACGGTGGAGCAGACCGCAGTGACCATCACCGGCGTCCCGCAGGCTGCGTTCACTGACCACAATGTGCAGTACCAGTTCCGCACAGAGAACAGCGGAGGACAGGTGAGCAAGGAGGATCTGTGGAGAGATAAACGTTATTGACAAGAAGTCTCACTGTGATCCAGATATTTTCCTTTACAAGAGAAACCAGTAATTTACATTAATAAACAACACAACAAGAGAATTAAGTCACACATAAAGCAGTTATCACTCTGATATAATCGTTAATAACTCATTTAAGAAACAAAACATCAGTAAGTATATTATAGTTTTACATACATGTACAATTTATGTTTTTTACTAAGGAGCTATTTAATAATGCATGGCACATTTATGTGTTTTTTTTAACTTAAAAATAAATGCTTTGGGGGTTTTATTTCCATTTAATTTGTATTGTTGCAAAATGGATGCTTAGCAGTCATGAATCTCTTAGCTTAGCAGTTGAAGTATTTTGTGCTTGTTTTAGTAATGTAATGCAGTAAGTTTGTTTTGGAAAGTGTATTATAAATAAAGTAGGGCTGTCAAGGCGTTAATAAAAAAAAAAATTAACGCCACTAATTATTTTAACGCGATTAACGCATGTGTATTTTTTGTCTGTCTAACCCGTCATCCAAGGTTAGTTTTCACTACAAGTACAACATTTTTTTGGGCGGACACTATAATTTACAGTTTTTTACCATGTTCAATCTGAATTTTCTTTAAAATAAAAAACATCTATATTGATTCTGACTTTTCTACTTCCAACTCATTCCACGCTCACCGGCAGGCACCGACTGGCCATCGGGAGGGTGTGTGTATGTGTGGCGCGAGCGAGCGAGAGAGAACGGGCACACCTTACCTTTGTATTGTATTGTAGGAGAGGTTCCAGGTTGAATTGAGGCGGATATTTGTAAAGTTCAGAGGTTATTATGTTTAATATTCATGAGAATATTTGTCATTGATCAAATGATAATAAACAAACATTTGCATAAAGCATATTTGTCCACTCATATGTTGATAAGAGTATTAAAAACTTGAAAAATATCCCTCGAAGGAACATTTAGAACAGATAAAAAATGTGCGATTAATTTGCGATTAACTATTTTAATCGACTGACAGCCCTAGTTACAATAAACATTCATACATAGGCCTATATGTTAAATGGATATAGCCGCCTTCTTTCATTTATCTTTCCATTCCCACAACAATATACATAAAGAAATGGCATATTTTGGACATAGTTTGAATGGTGATTAATCATGATTAATTCATTTTTAAGCTGTGATTAATCTGATTAAAAAATGTAATCGTTTGACAGCCCTAATAACAAATTGACGTGCTTAATGTGCTTAATGTGTACGGGGTGGAACAGACTGCGTGATATAAACAAACAACAAATAGCTAAATTTACATTTCCATGTGATGCTTTTATCCGAGGCGACTCACAATAGGTAAATGAAAAGCGGTAGACAGTATCTGATTTACTTAGACACTGTACTTAAGGACAATCTTGAGGTACTTGAGACTAATTGTCACGGCCCAAACTGTGTCCCTGTGTGTCCCCTCGGTACAAACCGAGGAATGATTACAGACAATAGTGTGTATATTCATGACGGGTGGTTCATTTGTGTTTTTAAGACACTAGAAAATCACGAGAGGCACACAGAGGCAGTCGCAATTTTTACAGGCTCCCACTACCTGTTAGAATCTGGCAACTGTTAGCATCTAGCTCTCCTGCTTACAAACATTTAGCCATCCCTGCTTATAAAACATCTTGACGCAGTTTGGCATTGGTGCATGGGACAGCGGACCCTTCGTCGTTTCTACGACAGTCGACGACCACGTCCTTCAACGTCTCCGCCGTGGCCACGTCTAGACCTGCCCAGCACGGGCCTCGTAGTCGACCATGCCGGGCCTAAGATAGGACCTGCCAGGCCCTAGTAGACGCTGCCCGGTTCGCGGCGACCCGTGGTCGACCTGCCGACCGTAGTAGACCTGCCCAGAAGGATCACCGGCGCTCGTAGTTGCCTTGAACTGGCCTATCAGCCTGTCCGGCGTTTCGCCAAGGCTGTACCGTGTCCGCTCCGCCACTTCAATGGGGTAAGTTTTTCGCCCAGAACGCGTGGGTGAAAGTTTGGTGCTAGACGACGCACGGTCCACACTCGTCAGCCCTTCCGGCGCCTGTCCACCCTTCCCTAGGGTGCTCCTCTGCAGTACCGCTATGCAACGTGACTTGCCTCCGTTTGACTCAAATCCTGACGTGGCGCTACGATGGAGGTACTTGGCTCTGTGGCTCCCTGCAGTAAAAGAAAGTCGAAGTCTTTCGGCAGCCCCTATAGGGAGGAATTACCAGACGAATAGACAAATAACGAGAATCACTCATCTGTAGTAGGAGCTACCACAAACTACCCTAAGAACTCATAGCTTTTCTCCAAATCCCGA